ATTATTATTTATTTTATTTGAAATAATTTATAATTTTTTTTAATTTCATTCTCATTTAATTTTTTAATTTGTAAAATTTATTTTTTATTATTTTAATAAATAATTTTTCAACTTATTTTTTATAACATAATCAAATATTTTTAAATTATTTTTATAATATTATTAAAAAATAATTTATTTTCTAAAATTTATTTGAGGAAAAAATTTTATTTCCAATGAAGATTTTAATTTTTTTCTTGAAATTAATATTTTTTATATTTTTAAATTATTTTGACATGTTGGTGGTAAAAATAATTTTTAAAAAATAAAAAATTATTATTTTAATATATTTTTAAATAAAATTAAAAAAAAAACAACCAAAAATCCACATTTCTTTTTTTGTTTTTTTGGCAAAGAAATAGAGAAAGAAAGAGAGCGATAGCGAGGAGGGTGAAGGATATGGAGAGAGATGACTGGGAATCCTGTAAACACAAAAAGGGATCAGTGGGGAAAAAAAAGGGATGGATCAATGATTTTTCAGTCCCTTTTGCAATTATAGAAGCAAGGAACAGGTTGAGAGGAGAAAAAAAGGCGGAGAGGAGATCTTTGAGAGAGACGTTAGGAGCCCTGTGAAAGGGTCTCTTTTGCAGCACTGAAAGCAACAAACAGAGGGAGAGGAGCGGCAAACAAGCTGAATTAGGCTAACCTGGTCTCCTCCAACTTGGGTCAAGTTCCTCCAAGGTAAAATTCTAGGGTTTGCTGAAGAAATTTTCGTTTTTAGAGTTTTTAGATAATTCATTTCTGGGTTTTACTATTTGATGTGTTGTAACCAATCTTGCTTGATTAATTATTGGTCAGCAACGATTGGGTTTGTCTTTCTGATTCTTTGGATCCATGTTGTTAAAAATGTTAGCTTGCTTGATTAATGTTGTTGTCTTGTTGTGTGTTTGAAGAGGAAGAGAAGGACATGATACATAAGATGTTCGTGCTTCTCTAAAAGAACTGAAGCTATTTACAGACTCTGCTGAGAGGTCAGCGCTAGCTATAGAAATCTTCTTGTAAAATATGATTGAGTGGTGAAAGTATATTTTTTAACGTATTTGGATTGAAAATAATATTAAATCCCTTTGTATGATTTTGGATGGTTTGGGTTTAATAAATCATTTTACGTTCTTGAACTGCATTTAGCAAAGGGATTGTTTGTTTGTTTGTTTACAAGAGGACAGTACATGGAGGAGATAAAGAAATTCACTGCACTCTTTTTTTTTTAGGTTGATGGTAGTGAAACTGTCGAGATGCTTGGTAAATGTTGTTGTGGCTGTGATGTGTGTTTTATGCAGGGTTGATATCCAGGCCAAATTTGAAGGAGAAGAAGAGAAGGAGAATGTGGGAAGGCCATCGAAATGGTGAGTTTGATTGCTGCATCTTTTATTTATTCTTTTAGGTTTTGAATATGGATGTTTTGAATATGGACCTGTAATGAATTCTGTGCTTTTTTATTACATTACCGAAAAAACTAATAAGCTCATGGTTTCGCTTCACAACTAGAACCATTTACACTGCTGGTTCAAATAGTGTCTTCTTCTTTAATACTGCACCCACTTGCAATTTAGTTTTTCGATTCCCGAGTTTTTTAGTGGCTGTCTTCAGTTCTTGATTGCTGGAGCTACTCTCTTTTTTTTCCCTTTAATTTGACGTGTCATTGAATGAGACTGTATTTTCCACTGGCCAGTTTCTCAATATCTCATAGTTCTGCTCCAGTTCTGTTGATGGCTCTGTTCTAATTCTGTTAGCAAACAACCAGGTAAGTACATTTATGTCGTTTTCTTTCCGTTTCTTAAATTTCAGTTTCATTCGCAATCATAACCTCTTGGCAGTTCATGTCTTTTCAACGATTCTTTGCTTGCCACGTTTCATGTACATTCATTTTCCAACTGGGCGGCATGATTTGTTTTCTTGGGACTATATCTTCAGACAAATAATTTTTCCTTCCCTTCCTCTTTCATTGCAAAAAAAAAAAAAAAAGAATAGAAAAAAGGGCATGTTAGGAAGCAATGAAAATAAAAACTACCTTCTCTTTCAGATGTCAATCTGTTTGTTTCTTCTCTTCGAAAAATGACTCAAGGATTTTCTGGGAAGGAAATCATTGATCGTATTATTTTTGAAGTTTGATTCTTCATGTAATCTATTGGATTTCAAATTATCTTTTACTTTCACAGTGATTACCCTCCCCCCCGTCTCTCTAAATACATAATGGGTTTTTGATTTGTAGGTTTCACAAAAATCTTGCATAAATTAACTAAAAAAATCCATATAGCCTCACAACGATCAAACTTTCCATATTCACAAGCCCGATTCGAGGAAGGAGATCCACAGGGAACAGTTGTCGCTGCTGCTGAGGTCGCGAACACACAAATCCACAACTAGACAGCCAAGACAAATGAATAACGTGTTCCTGATGGTGGCGTCAATTCTGTCGTAAAGACTGCAACAACCCGCCATCTATTGGCCACGCCTATTAGGTCGACCAGCGTCCTACGGTTTTGGGTGAGTCAATCTGAGTTTTTATTCAAGAAAAGCTTGACTTTTTTTCTACTATCAGTCCAATCTGTAGCTAAGTTGGATAGGGCATGGATATGATCTATCATAAAGCTGAAATAACCTCTTCTCTTTTTATTCATGATGTTTATTTAGCAGGGGCATTCGAGTCTGGTGATTGTTCATTTCTGATATACATCTCTTTTATGCCAGGATGGTAGTAACTTGATTTGCTATTTATTCTTTCTTTTATTATTTCACCAATTGAATATTGACTAATTGCCAACAGAAGGTCTAAAATCACAGTTGCACAAATGTTGATTGAAGACAAGTGTTCGATGCATAGTGACTGGCACTTTCACTCCAAGGAGGCAATGCTCCCTCTTACAAATCAAGTTGGCAATAGTTACAAGCATATTCCAATAGCATCTTCCTTTGCTGAAGTTCACCCTCTGGATGTAAAGCACTTGATGCCTGTGCATGGAGTTGAATTTCAACCCTCTGAGATTTGTCCAGAGGATTTCATTGAAGAATGCGATGAGGAAGAGGTCAGCATTGCACACGCACATGGAAATTAATGAAGCAACTGCACTGGTTCTTGCTCCAGTTGTGCTTCAAAACCTATGAAAAATAGATTTTATGTTTGGAAGTACTCTGGCAGTGTTTATTGCTGTCACAGTGAAAGGAAACAACAGAAAATAAATAAAATGGTGACGACATTGAGAGATATTATTGTACTTGGTGGTGACCGAATAAATACTGTCATTGTTTTAGATGAAGCCGTGTAGGTATACAAACTGAACGAGTTACGTGATATGAAAAAACTGTTGATCTCAATTGATTTCATTCTACCATTGTCTTGATAGATAATTGACATGGCTTCATTAAAGGATATCAAACAATGGATCGTCATGGTATGAAGTTTGAGCATTGATGAAGTCCCAAATAATCCAATTACTTTAATAATTAGGTTTTTGGTTGGATAATTAGTGAATTATTTAGTTTTATTTATTTTTTCTAATTAAGATGGTTGATAATTTATACTTGTTATTTAATAGGCCAAAGTGAATTATGATTAATAGCTATAAAAGATTTTTTTTTTATGAAAGTTGGGATTTTTTGATACTTAAATAAGTATTTTTTTTTAAAAAAAAATACAATAATATTTTAGAAAAAAATACTATGAAAATATTATATATAAAAATTATATATCTTTGTTTTGAAGGTTTTATATTGTATTTATAGTTGATAAATCTTATTTTTTATAAAGAAAAAGATCTAAAATATAATTTTATCCTTATAGTATATAATGAGTGATAAATATATCTTAAATTTGTATTAATATATTGATGGAAATATAATATGTACTTATAAGATTTTTATACACCTCAAAAAATAAGAAAATAGATTCAAAACATTAAATATAGCTGAGTCTTTAGAGACTAAATTCTTTTATAAAACTAAATCTAACGGAAGTTGGGTTCGTTTTATAAATGAATTTAAAAAAGCATATCTACACGAAGATGCTCATTTCCTCGAGCAAGCCTAGGAGAGGATGTTTATCTAAGTGCACTCAATAATGGTCTAGTTATTTCTCTAAGCATATCTAGAAAGAATAGAATGATTATTATTTTTAGTGTGTTTGGAACTTAACACAATATCATGTCTAATTGTTATTGAGTCTTGCTAGCACGAGACTTAGCATACTTTTATTAGAGTATATTTATATTTTAAAAACTTTATATTCATAAATTTTTATTTATTGTATATATTTTTGTAAAGATATATTAATAAATACTTATTTCCTCAAGTATATTGGTTACCATAGTTGATATCACAAAATATTGTTGAACAATTATTTTTCATTATTTGTTGATGATATGTTCTTATTATGCCAATACAAATCTTAAGATGCCTGACTTTTAAATCCATGTCGGTTTGTTTTGAGATTGATTGCTTGGTTGTTCTTTTTAACCTAAATTTCTTTTGTAATGGACTCTTTGTTTCGTCAAAATTGACCACTTATAGCTATCGTTTTTTGATAATAATAATAATAATAACAATAAAAATAAATTTATCTTCACCACTTGCATTTAAATTTTGGCCTTTTTTTTTCTGTCTAAAATCCTACAGCTGAGCACGGTTATTTTAATTTATTTTTATATTTAAGTATTCAATTTATTTCAATTTATTTTTAAATTGAGAATCATTCTGGCCAATCTATCTTTTTTTTCCTTCAAATGTGAGAAACTCGAATTCTAAAAAAAAAAATAATATTACAAAATTTATTTTTACTAGTTTTAATGAGAATCTATCAAAATGATCTCAGATATAAAAATAAATAGAAAGCAATTAAATTTGTTTTGATATATATGAGATTTGACGTAAAACTAAAGATTAGTTGAATTGTCAACAGTTATTTTTGTTGAAGTAACAGGCATTTAGTTGAAGTGTCAACAGTAGTATTAAAGGGTACGTAGTTTATTATTTAATTCCTCCACCAATTAGTTTATTTAAAAAATTAAAATGTCAACAGTTATTTAAAATTCGCAGATTAGTTGAAGTAACTAAATGCCTGTTTTATGCCTCCATTTCAATGCAAGGACAGAGGTTTGTAGCAGCTACAGATATATTGTTTGTATAGAATATTGCAAAGTTTATTTTTCAAAATACTTACTTTTTATGTTAAAATAATTATTTGTTTATTTTTTAAAATTTAATTTTAACACCAACACATTAAAATATAAAAAACAAAAAATTAAAAGTATAATGTCAAAAATTATTTTAATGACTGTTTATTTTTGTATTTGATTTTTTTAAATAATTTTAAAAAATGCATTCAGCTTAAAAAAATTTAATTAATATTTTTTTTATTGTTTTTTCATGGTTTTGATATGATAATATCAACAAAATAAATTTTAAAAAATATGTTATGTTTTTTTTAAAGCATTTTCTGACTTTTCAAGTTGAATGTCATGTAAAATACTCATCTCTATCGGGGGGGAAAAAAACCTCGTATTATACTAGAACATTGCAGGGACAAAGCCCACTGAACCACAGCTCATATCACTATCACGACCATTCTGTAAAACAAGCAGAATCCCTATAAATAGTATACATGCTCTTTGACTGCATTTCCATGCACGCTGCCGCTTGGAGGAAGCTCCCCTTGGACCTAACCGTCCATGCATGCCAGAACCGTTCCCAGCTGAAGCGGGGCCTTGCAATGCATGGGAAGGAATACTCTGCTGGGTGTCGTTGTTCATGATCAATGAGTTAAGGAAGCTATTTGGATTCTGATTCATCCCTCTTCTTGCCGAAGCAGGCTTGCCGATCTCAGTTGCATGGACCATTGAAGTCAATGACTCCACAGATTCTGCTGGTGATGAAATCCCACGTAGCCCGTGAATGGACAGAATGCAATATATACATAGGCCTACAGGGCAGGAGGAAGTACTCTGTGTTTGTGAGGATGTGTAACCTAAAAGAACATGATGACAAAGTAGAATTAAGGTGAACTAAAAGGTTTGATGAAGGATCAGACCCCGTACATCAGTATGAATAGGAATGACTACTTAATTTGAATTGCTGCAGATAATTGCTCTCTCAACGTGTTGTGTGCCTAATCTGCCATCTGTCTCCATTCCTTCTTCATCACTTTCAGCTCCATCTGCACTATCGTAGTCGTTGCCGCCATCCTCTTCACTGCCATCCTCTGCAGGAGTGACTACAATTTCCGTTGCGAGGAGTAACAATGGCAGCGGACCGATGACAGAACAGTTTCTTACGTGCATGCCCAATCTCCACGGGTTATCTCATCATATATAACCTAAGGGTAGTCATTTGACTTCCAAAATGATAGCTTATAATCAAGGGACTGAGCGCCACTAGCAGTCTCTACAACACGCTTTCCAATTTTGGTGGAAGGAAGGAACCTCCCCGCCATTGGATACAGACCAGCCACAAGGACATCATGGACTATACCTGGAACATGAGCATTTGGATTGCAACTTGAGACATCTTCTGGAATAAAACCCTTGCGAATTAATTCTCTCTGGAGCTGCTTACGCATGGCTTGCAGCATATTCATGGTGCTTGGAGAGATGAAGTATTTTTAACAAAACCATGCTTCTAGACCCCTATTCTTTGCTTTCTTCCAGCACTCAAAAGCTGCTATAACTGCTAACTGATCGCTGGATTTTACTCTGTTGCGAGGAGTAACAATGGCAGCGGACCAATAACAGAACAGTTGCTTACGTGCGGTTATCTGGTAATGTATAATCCCAGTATAGTGGTTATTTTGTATCTTCTAAAATGTTTTTTAAAAATTATTTTTGATATTAAAATATTAAAATGATCTAAAAATATAAAAAAAATTCAATTTGAAACAAAAAAGTTTAATATTTTTTAAAAACATTTTTGAAACACAAAAACAAATAGACTTAAATTTAAGGTGAAATTACATGCTACAGTAAATCTAATTTATAAATAAATTTAGAATTAAATATTAAATTATAGAATTGAATTGAATTATAATATTTGGAATATCTATAAAAAGAAATTTGTTAATAAACTTCATGTTCAATCTCTACTTGTTCTTAAAAATATATAGTTTGATCTTATCATTTTCAGATATATCTTCTTCATGAAATCATGTGGTGATTACATGAAGTTCGTTTGATCTTATCATTTTTGAACTATTTTGAATGACCGGAGAAACTTATTTTCCAAATATATCTTATTCATGAAATCATGTGATGGTTACATAGAGTTAATGATTTATTCCGATTCATATGAATTTATCAAAATCAGTAAAGATATTCTAATCAAAACAAATCAAATATCTTAATAGATCTCATGTTTTTTTTTTTTGAATAATGTAGCCATGAATTATTATCATGCATCAATGTTAAAATTTGTTCTTATCAAGTTTAAAAAAGATCATTCACATCCCAAAATGGTAAATCCAGTCCACCCAAGATAAGAAGAATGGGCCATTTTCACAAACATTTTCATGCAAGCTGGCCATTTTCGTAGCAGGGCCACAAAAAGGGTGGAGTCCATGTGATTGCAGAATTTGCAGACCTCCTCGCCCCAATCCCTCTCTATCTAATCCCCTCCATGTCTCTCCATAACCCCATTCAGTTGGTTTCCTCAACGCAACGAGCAAACATTACAAGACCAAACCCTCTCCGTCTCTTTTCCTTCCTTTTCCTTTATCCTTCTCTTCATTCTATAATACACAAAGCAAGGTACCAACCCAGCACACCTTGTTTTTTCTTTTTTTCTCCGAAAATAATTGCTATCATCACTATTTTCCGCTTATGATCACTGATATTGTTCTTTCAAATTTGTAATTTTTTTTAAAAATCTTTTCTGGGTTGAATCCAGCGTGTGCTTTTCTATACTCCTGTAACCGACAAAGAAACAAACAGGGAACATTTTTCACTTTATTTTCACCTTTACCCATTTCTGATCATCTTAGACTTGGTTTCTTCCAATCGTTTTTTCATCTTTCTTGATCTGATTCGCCTACCAAACTAGATTTCGGTTTTTGGGTATTTCAGAGTTTGCTCTTTTATCTCCTAACTTGCAGTTATTTTTTACTGATTCTGTTAGATTTTTTTTGTGCTTTTATGTCTTCATGATGGTTTGTGTATTGGGTGCTTAGTTTTGGAGTGGATTTGGTGTTTTGGGCTCTTGAGTGATGGAGATGATGGATTGTTGCATTAATGGTTGTCTCTGATCTGGGTTTTAAGTGTTTTCTGTACATGAACTGAAATTAAAACGATATTGCTATTTTTTTCCTGGCAAGGTCCTTTCCTTTTCATTTGGTTTTATGGGTCTTGAGTGTTTCTTGCTTATTTTTG